CAGCAGGGGAGGGAAGCAACTTACAGACATTTTATGGCACTTGAGGTTAAGGAAAATAAGAATGGGTTTGTAATAATGCACAAGGAGCAGAAACAGCATGAGCAATGAGTGAATGGAAGGGAGCAAGCCRACAGCAACACAAGTGGGCAGAGATACCAGATCTTCCCATGTGCACACCATTCCTAAGAACAGGCAAAAAACTTGCAGAAAAACTGATTCCACACTAAATTTCAGCCAATAAAATGCCAAAAGAAAAGCAAAAGAGAAATGGAAAATACATCCAAATTGCATCTGAGATCTGCTCTGCCTGTGGAATGGAGGGGAGCAGGCAGGAGGATGCACAGGGAGAGGGGTGGCACTGAGTTGTAGCAGTAATTTAGGTGTCAGGAAAGCTGCTGGACCCATGGTGCAGAYATCAGGGGAGCAAAAGCTCCTGACAGCTCCTGGAGATCGCTGAGGGCCAGGTCTCACTAGACTGGCTTCCCACTGAAAGAGGGTAGAGTTAGATTAGCTGTCAGGAAGAAATTCTTCCCTGTGGGGATGGGGAGGCCCTGGCTTACCCAGAGAAGCTGTGGCTGCCCCTGGATCCCTTTGGGTGCCCAAAACCAGGCTGGACATTGGGGCTGGGAGCAGCCTGGGACAGTGGGAGGGGTCCCTGCCRTGGCAGGGGTGGATGGGATGATCATAAAGTCCCTTCCCAGCCATTCTAGGATTCTATGTTTGTGTGATCTCAGCAGTATCAAAGAAGAGAAAGACGATGAAGCAAAGCACAGCAGGTAATRAGCAATTTACAAGGAGGATACAGGAGAATGAAGCAGCTGTCAATGTCACATGGTACCCAGAAAAAAAGACAGACCCATAGGAAGTGTCCCCATTAGCTTAAAACTATGTACAGCAGTGAAAAAAATCGCATTCCTGTTCAAAGTGTTTAGGAATAAGGCTGGCATGCACACGATGCCAGAGTCAGCCCCTTCCTCACCTCAGCCATCTGTTCAGGGCTCTCCTCTTCTTTTTCCTCTTTCTCTCCCTGCTCTCTGACACGTGTGCTGCAGGATTCACCTTTGGTTTGTCCCTGTGAGGGAGGGCACAGTCACACCGTCCATCCTGGCAATTGGCAGGCTCTGGCTCCCCACTGCTGCTCCTCCTTTCCCCAAGCCTGGCTCAGCTCTGCAGGGGCTTCACCCTGCACAGCCATCGTGCCAGGGGTGCCCTGCCATGGCACCGTGTGTTTATGAGGGACCAGGTGTGTGTAGAGCCTGGCAGCAGCACAGCCCTGTCCCCGTGTCCAACAGCTTTGTCACCAAATCACTGGTGTTGGTTTACCTGTCCTCACCTGGTGCTCATCATCTCTTCAGATGTAACTGCAGGAAGAGAGGGCATTCCCTCTGTGTGCTCAAACAGCGCCGGCGTTTCAGTGTGGGCAGGAGGGATTGTTCATTTTATGAAATCAAAGTGTCAGTGTTGACCACATCCCCCAGAAGTACAGAGCAGGACCCTGAGGACCATTTCAATTCCAGGAAATGTCACTTGCAGTGACCTGAGCTGTGTTTTGCAGGAGTGCTCAGAGAGGCGGATGCAGGGGAGCATGTTCCCCAGCTCTCCCTTCATCTACTACTACGAYGATGAATGCGACATCAAGAGGAGAGCGAACAGGTTAAAAAGAAAGGTGGCAGGTACGGTGTCTTTTGCGAGATCTTTCCCACTTTTCAGTTCTGTGTTTGTGCTTTTTAGAAACATTGTGGGATTATTTTCATGTGTTGGGAAAAGCTGCATGGATTTGGCCAGGTAGCCTGGTGGTAGAAAAAGATTTGTGATTTTACTCATCCGTGTCTATCATGGAAATTGACTGTGTCAGAGTCACTCAGTGGGCATTGTCAGATGTTTTAATTCTGAAAAATGTTCTGACATTAAAAATGCCATAAAATAGCAGGAAGGGGATTAAATCGCAATTTGTTAAGATTCTAACCCTATGACAGGAAAAAGCCCACAGTGAAAAAACCTGTCAGAGATAAATTTTTGTCTGAATTTATACGTAGCAAAGGGGAGCTGTAACGGCTTGGGCATCAGGTTTTAGGTTTTTGATGTACTGAAATAATCCATTCTGCTTTCCAGACCTGCAGGAAGCTGGCCTTCTTCCAGAACAGCCCGAAACCCCATTGCAGGAAGAACAGCTTGAGGTGCACAGCCACAAGAAAAAAATCAAACTTTGTAAAGAACAACGTGGGAAGCACAGCAGGAAGAGTGAGCACCAAAAGGAGATGAGGGTGTCCCGTGCAAAGAAAGSCCAAGGGAAGCACAGGAAGGGTGTTGAAATCCACGGGGAATCGAAGGGAGACTTCCCTCGGGGGCACAAGCAGAAGGTGTGCAAGGGCAGCAGGGTCCATCACAAATCCCTTTTCCAGGCATTCTCAGGCAGCAAGGCCACGTGTGTGCAGGAGCCTCTGGAAGGTGCCAAAAGGAAGAAGAAATGCAAAAAGCAGAAAGATGCTAGTGGTGACAGCAGGGACAATCTATTCCTGATAAAACAGCGGAAGAAKAAGTCCAAACAGAAATCCTGCTGATGGGGAGGGAGGCAGGCTGCACTGGCATTTGCTGGCTGTGGCCCTGCCTTCTCTTCATTCGAGTCCATCCCTGAGCCGGCATGCCGGGCACCCTCACCCACGGCTGGAGGGGACCACTCTGTCTCTGTGAGCTGTAGCCATGGCAAGCAGGACCCAGTGCTCCTGCCTGGGGCGATCAGGGAACAGGTTGTACGTTAATTTTCTTTGGGGATATTCTTGGGGATATGGGGGCACRCTGGGTTTGGCAGGGTTTGTTTCTTCACCAGTGAGATGTGGCTCTGCTGTCGGGGCCCACAGCAGGGAGATTTGGGTCAGCAGGGGTTGGGGTGGAAAGCAGGAATGCAGGGATGAATCGCATCCCCCCAGCCCCAGGCCCTCCCCAGAGTGCAGGAGGGTTTTTGGCATTTCCCTCGCCGTGGCAGGGGCAGCCACATCTCTGCTTTGGGGTGCAGCAGTCACCCATCTCACTGTCCAGCACGGTGCCATCATCCACTGTGCCCCGTGCTCAGCTCTCAGGGCTCCACCCTGTCCTTGGCAGCTGCTCAGCAGAGCAGCAGTGAGCAGCTGGGCATGGAACAGGGTTTACATCTCACACTAAATCTGTCCTTTTCTCTTTCGATGTGGAAGCTGTTTCTGGAGAAAAAAAAAAAGAGCAGAGCATGAAGAACATACTTGGTTCCAGTCACACTGTGCTAAAATTTAATTTTTTTAAAGGCAGTTATTTTTGTACACTGAAATTCAGCACGTTGTTTTAAGGTTTGTAAGAATGAAATGCTTTATCAAAAGACTAATGCAAATAAAACTTTACATGAGAAATATGGAAAAAATGGGTTTGTTCCTCATTTCCTTGCATTCCAAACATAATTGGAAACAGACAGCATCTTGTTCTCCTTCCTGAAACTGCATCACCTCTGACAAGAGTAAAGGGAAAAAAAGGAATGTATTTGTATTCTACTTAGTTTTGAAAAGGAAATTATCCATAGCCTGCTGCTCTGTGACATGCTCTCAACTGTGCCACTCCTTAGTGAGCAGCTGATGGTAACAGCAAAGTGCCACTGAGGGGGAAGMGCTCTCCTCATGCTGCAGTCCTGTGTTAGAGACATTTGCACCTTCCAAGGGTATCTGGGAAGGGATGCGGGCACCCAAGAAAACATTGAGGGCTCTCATTATGCTGTGTTATCCCATGGCAGTACTCCCTAAATTCATCAGGCTTTTGTTTGGCAAACTCAGCAGTGAGAACACAGGTTCTCCGGTGAGCCTGTCCTCCTGTTTCAGGGGTATTTGAGGTAGAGATACAMCTGCATAGTACTTGGGAATCTAAGGTCTAGCTTTGCTTCAGCATGACCTTGGCAATAAAAATTCAGTTTTGCTTAAGTTCATTTTTTGCTTGATTGAAAAATTCCTGATGATGCAGAAAAGAAAATCAGTTTTAGCCCTAATGAAAAAATAAGTTACTTCCATCTCTGAAAGGACTCCTTTTAACATGGAAACTGCCCTTTTCGCAGATGCTGCGTTCAACATCCCTTTCTGGTTTTGAATTCTGGGTTTTATCTGAGCAAAAGTGACCACTGGCCTTTAGCCAGACCAGAACAAACCTGGCAGACSTTCAGGGAGGAGGGTTGTTTTCAGTGATCGGTGTGGTCATCTGGCCAGCCACGTTTCCTTGAGGTGCCTGCATTTCCTGCACCTGAGAGAGGTGCTTTTGCATCACCCACGTGTATGGGGTGGAGTAAGGCAGTGTTTTTCCTCACCCACCCCTGAGGAGCAGGTCCCTGGCCTGCATGGCAGGGGTCAGGCCAGCCAGGATCCCAAGCTCTTTCTCTGAAGCTCAGTGGCTTCAGACCAGAATATTTTGCTTTGGAAAGTTATTCAAAGCCTTTTGTGTGCTGGTGGCAGAGCCTGCYTGGTGTTGGGAAGGYAATGGCAGGGAGTTTAGGGTGCTTGGGTGGAGCCCCACAGGAGTCTGGCTGCAGTTGTGCTTCTCCCTGTCACTGTCACTGCCTGCTGTCAGCACCGGACAGTGCCTTTGTGGTGGAACTGCCTCTGGATGTCATTCTGAATCCTGCAGGAGTCCAGCCTTGCAGAGCCTTTGCTGTGGGAGATGTCTGCTGCTTGGGATTGTAGGGCAGCGAGTAAAAGATGGAGGAAACACATTTTTCAGGACCATGGGAAGGGGAAAAAAGTGAAACAATGACACTTGGAAGCAGACGGGAGCCAGGTGAGGGAATATCCTCCAGGCCAGGATGTGGCTGGCATTGCCACTGTGGAAAAAGAACTGAGATCCTGCAGCAGCAGATCCAGCCTGGGGCACAAGCCACGGGTGTGTTTGGGTCCTGGCAGATAACAATGTCAACTGCAGCACTGAGCAGAGGTCTGAGCCCAYCAGAGCATTGGGGGGACAACTGACAGTGCAGATAACGCCTCTGGCGAGGAGAGAGGGACAGGGACAAGGCTGGCTGGTCGCTGGGGGCACTTGGGTGAATGAGGTGCAGCAGAAAGCGATGCCTGCAGCTCTGTGTGGCTCCACGTGGACAAAGCAGCGTGTGTCTGGCACCACTGTCACCATGGCCAGTGCCACCCAGCCCTACCTGTGAGGCTTCTGTTGGGCAGTGATGGATCTTGGAGAGTTCCACAGCAGGACGCTGTTTATGTTCAATGAGGAGAAGAGGACAAGGAGAAATGCAAAAAGGGGTGGATTTTCCAGCATCACCAATATCAGCACCTGCAAAGGGGCAGTGCTGTGTTGGAATCCTGGAATCCAGACTGAGCTGCCTCCACAAAGCTCTGCTTTATCCTGTTCAACAGCACTGTACTTCAGCCTGTCACTGSTCCCACCTGCTCTCACCCCTCCTGTAAAGAACTGTCAGTCTTTACTCCAGAGATGCCTGGGACTGGAAAAMATGCTCATCCCAGGAGAGGACGGTGTCTCGAGGTCACAGCTGATGTGCACTGGCGAGGCAGCATGAGGAAACCTACACCGCGTGAATAAATGCAGGACCGGAGCTGAGCCCCAGCACTGCAGTGGGGACAAGAGGGATGGATCAGAAGGTCAGAGTCTTGTTGGGTAATGGGGGCAGGTGTCCCGGGAGTGAAGAGGGGAGAAGGGAGTATTGGGTGCATCATTTGTTGCAGCTGTACACAGAGAGGTTGAGTGAGGAAGGAGTGATGTGATTCGAGGTGTCTGTGCCCCTGGCACACCTGTGAAGGGAACTGGATGTGTGTTGGTGACACAGCACAGGTCTGGCTCCTCCATGAAGTGTTCCTTTCCCTAGAGTGTGCCTCAAAGCACCGATCCCTGTGTCCAGCTGCTGTGCAATCTGCACACACCATCATTTCATGGTGTGTCTGCTGCAGCACCAACACCGGCAGTGGCCACACTGACCACACCGACCACAGGCAACGCGGTGACCACAGGCAACGCGGTGACCACAGCCCCGTGTGCCTCAGTGTCACCAGCAGCCCTTTTTCCACCCCACATGTCACTGACCAGCTCCTCCAGGATGCCGAGCAAAGCTGAGGTTCAGGTCACCCAAACAGGTGGACGCTGACACCAGCACCCAGCAAGGACGGGCACTGCCGGGCTGCGGGTGACAGTGGCAGAGCAGGGTCAGTGACAGCCGACCGTGCCACCACGTGGCACAGCAGCCAGTAATTGCACTTTTTTTGCATTGCAAAATGATTATTAGCACCTTGGTTCATTATCAGAGCAAATTTAATTTTTCAATGTAAAGGAGCCAGTTGTATTTATAAAGGAAACATTGTTGATACAGCCGGAAAAAATTAATTCATGAGAAATGTAAGGAAAATTAATAGTCTTTAACCAGGGCAATATTTGACTGTGTCTAATTGTGCTTTGCAAGGTTTGAAAAGTCCTGGCAGAAATTCTTGCAGAGGCATTTTTACACTTCTGATGAAACTGCATTTAAACATTGGGGTTTTTTTTGGGTTTTTTTTAATTAACCTTGTGTCAGCCTGGTTAAATCATAAAAATACTGTTGTAGCAAGCCGGTATTCTCTGGTGTATTTGTGCACTGGCAGGGGCATTGTGTGCGTTTGGGAAGGTCTTRTCTAATCCAAATCCGTTCAGACAGAAAACAAGGGAGTGGGGGCAACACCACGGGCAGAGGGAGCCCCCAGACCGAAGGTGACCACAGGCTCCCCAGAAGAGGAAGGTTCAGCAGGCACCGAAGAGTTTGGGCTGGTGGAAATGTCACAGAAAGTCGTGTTCTCCTGAGCTCAGTGCAAGAGCACACCGACACAGGCAATGTGGAGTGAAGGGCTGACTGCTCGTGGCTCAGCGAGCCTAGCTGAGGCTGCAGAGCCTGTTTGGGTCAGAGCTCCAGGATTGCTCCTGCTGGGCTCTGCAGAGGTTTCCACATGCCAGCTGTACCCCAGACTCACTTTGGCACCAGGAACCTCCTTCATGTGGGCAGCCTAAAGCTCTCCGGTGTCCCAGCAGGGCTGTAAGTGAAGAAATGGGGAGCGCAGACAGCCCCAGACAGGCACAGGATTGCAAACACAACCCATCCTGAGCAGAGGGAGAGCCGGTTCAAGCAGCAGGCGGGCATGGCAGCCTCCCTGTGTCCCTTGAGGGGTGCAGGTGCTGCAAAGGGAACATTTGCCCTGCGGTGTCCTGCTCCTTCATCCCCGCGGGCAGCRCCAGCCCCTCGCCTTTGCACCGCGCTCCTCGGGAAACGCGCCATCGCCTCAACTCCGCTGCCAACCTGAAGCCAATTTGCATTGGATAATTATTTTCAATTAAGTGATAACAATCGTGTTCTGAACAGAAATAATCTTGTCCGAAGGCCAAACGGTTTACGCCGTCTCGGAGATGAGGCCGCGCTTTGTGAGGGCTCCGGGCTGGCGGCCAGCGCAGCCTGAGGGGGCTCCTCCCGCCGGAGCGGCACCGCCCGGGTCCCGTGGCTCCGGTCAGCCCTCA